CAGACCGACTATACGAGAAAACACCACCCGGTGTGGTCATGGGTCTAGCATGGACGCAGACCGGAGGGTCTGCTCTGTACATTGAGTCGATCATTGAGCACGCGATCAACAAGGACTCGACGCCAAAGCTCGAACGCACGGGCCAGCTCGGAGACGTGATGAAGGAGTCCGTGCGGATCGCGTACTCGTTCTCCAAGATGTATCTTGCGAAGAAGTTCGCCGAGAACCGGTTCTTCGATCGTGCGCAGATCCACCTGCATTGTCCCGAGGGGGCCACGCCAAAGGACGGGCCGTCTGCGGGCGTTGCCATCACGTCGTCGTTCCTTTCTCTGGCTCTGAACAAGCCTCTGAGACCCGACGTTGCCATGACGGGAGAACTCACGCTGACAGGACGCGTGCTGCGGATCGGCGGCCTCAAGGAGAAGACGCTTGCTGCAAGAAGGTCCGGCGTCAACACGGTCATTTTCCCGAAGGACAACCTTGCGGACTGGCACGAGTTGCAGGACAACGTCAAGGAGGGCATCACGCCCGTGCCTGTTGAGTGGTACGACGAGGTGTTTGCGACGCTGTTCGGCGACGTGACTGCTGACGAGGGCAATGCGGTCTGGAAGAAGGAGTTTGAGCTGATCGACCAAGCCGAGAAGGACAAGAAGTGATGTTAGAAATGCTGCATAGTGTTCATGTATATACATACGGCTGTGTTAAGAGAAAAATATAATTTAAATTTATTATTTTATGGCCAAGAAGAAAGCACAGTCTCCTCCGCCCGAGGAGACGATCGACGAGCACAAGACGCTCGAAATATACAAGCAAGCGCTCACGTTCAACGTGATAGCGAAATACGACCCGCTGATCGACCAGCTCGTGCATCTGACCTCGTACTGCGTGGTATACCGCTTTGACTCCGACCAGAACGACTGGGTCAAGCTCGACTTCCAGGGCCCGCTGGCGATATACTCGCGAAAGAGCGAGGTGGCGGGGCCCACGCCGGCGCCGGAGGTCGTCCAGAACGACCAGCTGTACACGTTCGGGCTCATTGTGCTCAACAGAATCAAGCCGGAGAATTTCAGCATCGGGCTCATAAGCAGCAAGCAGCTGACCGACCCGGAGGACGGGATCATTGTCGAAAACACAGAAAAACTCATCATTGTCCGCGACCTCAGCCAGCAGACGTACGGCCTGTGGATCTTCGACGCCGCCGACAGAGACTATATATGCGAGATCTTGAAATACTGTATAGAGGGAGAACAGAAATAAATTATGAAGGGGTGCCGCTGTCGGGCTGCTGTTTGTAGGGCATGCGTCTTTTGCGCGCCGGCTCGTCCATTGGCGAGTACGCTCCCGGCACTTGCTGGTACAGCGACGGACTGGGCGACGAGACGGGTCCTGCGGTGGCCTGTCTTTTGGTTGGCTTGCGTATCTTCTTGGCTCCCTTTTTGTCTCTTCCAGGCGCCGTATCTGCTCCCGCCGACGCAGAGCCGGGCAGCGAGCCGGGCAGCGAGCCAGGCATCGAGTGCGGAACCGGCGTGGACAGCCCGCGGGCGACGAAGTTGCCGTTCATGTTCGGCACCGGGGTCGAGCCCTGTCTGGAGTCGACCGCGTGCGGATGCCCCGCTGCGGCCACGGCCGAGGCCATCTGCTCCTTCTGCCGCTGGTTGAGCATGCGTTCCTGGTTGATGAGCGCGCGCTGCTGCTGCGTCATGCCGCCCAGCAGCCCGTTCATGCTCGGGTCGCTCGCGTTCGGGTTCATGCCGCCGGAGATCGCCGCCTGCTTGATCAGCTCGACCTTGTGGCGCCACATCTCGACGAACCGCAGCCGCTGGAACTGGCCCGGCTCGTTGGTGTTTGTTTTGGCCGACTCCGACAGACGGTTGTTGTGCGTGTACGACTCGCTCAGAATCGTCATCAGCTGCTCGTACTTGGAGTTTGTGTGCGGCAGGTCCTCGTGCAGCGGCTTGTACGGGTAGTTTCTGTACGAGAGCGGGTAGAGGCTCGTTTTCTGGCCGTCCTGGTCGATTTCTCGCGCGTCGGCTCGGTGCACAAACCTCATTTTATCCGTCTCTGGGTCGTACTCGGGTACCACCATGTCGTAGGGCCGCAGAGACTTGTCGTAGTGGTACGGGTTCAGGATCGGCTGCAGATTGATGTTTCTGTTGGTCGCAGTGAGCACCTCGCTCTCGAACGTGAGCGCAAACGTGTCGTGGAACTGCTGTGTGTCGGCCTGGTACGACAGGTCGTCGTACTGCGCCAGCTGCGTGAACCGCAGCACGGTGCGGTACTCTTTCGGCTGGGTTTTCTCGGGCTCGTCCGGCTTGCCCTCGCGCGGCTCCTGTTTTTCCTGCTTGATGGGGACCAGGTGTCTGTGGTCGTACACTTTCAGAATCAGGCTCCCGTCGTAGAGCTGCACGCCGCCGTCCTTGATCACCTCGACAAGCGGCTCGGGGATCTCGCCCTTCGCCACGTACTCCAGAAACTCCTTCACGGTGGGCGAGCTTTTCGGGATGATGGCGTCCTGGTTGCCGAACCGGTAGTGGTTCTCGTGGATGTGGAACTCGAGCGACGCCGGATAGCTCTCGAATTTTTTCAGGATCTCCTCGCTGCTCTCGTAGAATCGCTGTGTTTTCGCACGTCTGCGCAGCTGCTGGATCATGAGCATCTTGCGCTGCTGCGGGTTCAGTTTGGCAAGCTGTTCCTGGCTCAGGCCCAGGAAGTTTCGCTGGCCCGGCTGCGACTGCTGCTGCTGCTGCTGCTGCGCGAGCTTCTTCTGGACGAGCTGCTGCTGCTGCGGCGTCAGCTGGCCCGCGGCCTGCGCAGCGTGCAGCTGGGCCTGCTGTTGCTTGACCATCTGCTGGTGTCGCTTGAGCAGCAGGATGTCCTCGTCCTTGAGCTCGCCCGTCTGGATCATCTGCTCGAGCCGCTGCTGCCGGGTCATCCCGGGCGGCGGCTGGATCGAGTTGAGCAGCCGCATCATGTGCGCCTGGGTGTTGTTACTACTCATGGTGGATAAAAAAATAATTCGCGACTAGAGAAGTAAACTATTAAGTAGGTGCAAGCAAGAAACGAGCAGTGTTGGGGCACCGCGCATAGAGCCGCGTGTGGCCGGCTGCCAACGGTCGCGAGCACAAAGCCTGGCAAGCCAGTAGCGTAGCAGGGTCTTCCGGGCGCTGCCCGCGCCCCACACGAGCCCTGTGCCGGTCCTTTGGTGTCGTCCAGACGCCCTGCGGACAGCCTTCTTGCGTCTCTTCCTCCAGCTCGTTCCACCCCGTCCAGTATCTTTGTGTCCCTCCAGCCGTCCAATAAATATTCCTGCCGGTTTCTTGCTAACTTTCTTTTTCACCCAAATTTGCCAGACCAGATGATCCATCATGTCCATGGCGTTCCAGCAGTTCCAATACGTTCCGTTTGCTGAAAACAGCCACCACAGCGCCCAGGTCGGCTATCCTCCGTCGTACCCCAGCAGAACGGTGTATCTGGGCAACATCCCTGCCGACATGGAGCCCCACGAGCTGCTGGACCACGTCCGTTCCGGCACCGTGGAGTCGCTGAAAATCGTGCCGTCCAAGAACTGCGCGTTCGTGTCGTTCCTGGACGAGAACTCCGCCATGCTGTTCCACTCCGACGCCACCCTCAAGCACCTCTCCATCGGCGGCCACGAGCTCAAGATCGGCTGGGGCAGACCCACGCCCGTGCAGCCCGTGGTGGCCTCGTGCGTCGCCCGCTACAACGCCACCAGAAACGTGTACCTGGGGAATCTGGACGCGGGCGTGACCGAGCAGGAGCTCTTCGACGACCTCAAGCACTACGGAGCCATCGACACCATCAAGATCCTGCCCGACAAGAAGATCGCGTTTGCGCACTTCACCTCCATCCTGGCGGCCATCAAGTGCATCCAGTCGCTGCCGCTCGTGGACAAGTACCGCGACAAAAAGGTGTTCTACGGCAAGGACCGGTGTGCGTTTGTCACCAAGACGCAGCAGCACAACGCGGCACAGTACCTGGGACTGAACCCGAACTGCGACAATCTTGCCGGGCAGGTCGACAGAGACGCCATTGCCGACACGCTCGTGCGCCAGAGCAACGCAGCAGCCATCATCGCCGCGTCGGCCGGCGGCCAGAGCAACCAGGGCAACCGCACGATCTACCTGGGCAACCTGCACCCGGACTCGACCGTCGAGGAGATCTGCAACGTGTGCCGGGGCGGCATCCTGCACCACGTCCGGCTGATTCCCGAGCGGCACGTGTGCTTCATCACGTTTATAGACCCGGTGTCTGCTGCGCAGTTCTACGCCATGTCGTCGCTGCACGGGCTCGTGATCCACAACCGCAAGATCAAGGTCGGCTGGGGCAAGCACTCGGGCCCGCTGCCGAACTCGATCAACCTGGCCGTCGGCAACGGCGCGTCGCGCAACATCTACATCGGCGGGCTCGACAAGATCCCGGAAATCAAGTTCACCAAGGAAAAGCTGTACAACGATTTCAAAGTGTTTGGCGAGACCGAGCAGATCAATTTCTACGACGAGAAGCACTGCTGCTTCGTCAACTTCACCAACATCTCGAGCGCAATCAAGGCGATCGACGGGATCAGAAACAACCCGGACTACAGAAAGTGCAAGATCAACTTTGGCAAGGACCGCTGCGGCAACGTGCCGCGCAACTTCCAGGACCCGCACGCGCTGCCCTTCATGCCGTTCATGTCTGGCCAGGTGGTGAACGACATCACGGGCCAGCAGTTTGGCGACTACAGCGACGACGACGACGAGCCGGCGCGGCCGGCGGGCGAGTCGCTCGACGCAGAAAACCCAATGGGCATTTTCCGAAAGCAGACTTAACCGTACATATTCTATTTACCGTATCTGTTGATTTAGAGAGTTTTTTTCTTATCGCCCCTCCACTAATAAATTTTCACCCCTCTCCTATCCGATATCCAGTTTATTCCCTCGCTTATCCAATATATATACACCGTTGACTCACTCCTACTCGCCATGCTCCGCACGCTGCAATCAGTCTCGCGCAAAGTCGACTCGCTCGGCGTAGAGTCCAGAGGTATCGAGCGCTGCTTGCCCGACGAGCGCTCCACGTCCAAATGGGTGCTCCTGTCGATTGCCGGGCTGTGGAACTCGGGCTGTGGAGGACTCACCTCCATGTCCTCCTTCTTCCTCGGCCCGCTGCTCTTCGAACTGGGCTACAAGGACTCCATGGTTATTGGGCTGCTTGGCATGCTGCTCGGGTGCTTACTCCCCGCGTACGCGGCGACTTTGGGCCCCAGGTCCGGCCTCAGACAACTGTGTCTGGTTCGCTACCTGTTTGGCCGTGTCGCGATCAAGGTGGTGTGTCTGATCTCGGTGATCGGACTTGGCGGATGGACAGTCACGAACTCTGTGATCGGCGGCCAGATCCTGCTCTCAATGAGCAACGGCACGGTCCCCATCGAGATCGGGATCCTTATTATCAGCCTGGTCAGCGTTGTGGTGTCCATTTTCGGGATCCGGCTGGTGCTCAAGCTGGAGACGGTCGTCGGCGTCGTGGTGATCATTACGGTCATCCTCATGTACCCAATGACCCGCCAGGACATCACGCGGTTCCACGAAAATGTCTCTGTTGGCGACGGGCTCACGGTGATCGGCAACCGGCTCTGTTTTTTCACGCTGTGCTACTCTGTGACGGCCACCTGGGCAGGCGTCGCGTCGGACTACTACATTTTGCTGCCCGAGACGTTTGGCCAGAGAAAAGTGTTCTTTTTCACGCTTTTCTCGATCGCCGTCCCGACCACCGTGGGAGCAGTCATCGGACTGCTTATCGGCAACGCTGCCGTCTCAAAGCCGACGTGGGCCGCAGCCTACGAAACGTCCTCGATCGGTGGGCTGCTGAACCTCGTGTTCGACGCGTGGGGCGGGTTCGGCAAGTTTTTGCTCATTCTGCTATGGCTCTCGCTCATGACCAACAATATCATCAACCTGTACTCGTCCGCGCTGATTATCCAGATCGTCGATCCGTGGGTCTACCGCAACATCCCGCGCTGGTTCATGGTGCTCGTGGTGTTTGCCGTGACGTTGGTGCTCGCGATGGCCGGCAGAGACAAGCTGAGCACGATCCTCTCGAACTTCCTGCCCATGCTGGGCTACTGGATCACGATCTACTTTGTGATACTCGTGGAGGAGAACCTGATCTTCCGCTCCACGAAGTTGGTCAGCCTGTTCAGATTCGAGTTCTCGGCGGACGAAATACCAGACGATGTCGAGTCGAAGGAAGTGGCCTGTGAAACAACGGTCTCTCAAAAATATGGAAAGAAGCCCTGCTACAACTTTGCAGCTTGGGACTCCGCCAGCTGCCACACGTACGGGATTGCTGCGTCGCTGGCCTTCTGCATGGGGGCCGTGGGGGCGGTGCTCGGGATGGACCAGGTGTACTATATCGGTGTGCTCGCACGCCAGATCGGCGACTATGGCGGCGACATCGGCACGTGGCTGATCGTTGCGTTCACGGGGCTCTCCTACCCCGTCCTCCGGTACGCAGAGCTGCGCGTTTTCGGCAAATAAGAAAATATCAATTTATTCCGGGTCACTGGCTATTTGCCCCCCTCTTGGTAAATATCGACACGAGATAGCACTTGAAAAACCATTTGAGCGACTCGAGCAGCCCGGCCATCGAAACCAGCCACGAGTAGTAGTTTTTCTTGTGCGACACGTTGTTTGCCTCCGGCTCTGGTGCCGGCTCAGCCGAGGCCTCGTGTTCGTGCTCCTGCTTGGCTGCTTCCTCTGGCTCGTCCCGGTGGTCCTCCACCTCGACCCAGGCAGACGACACTGTGGAATCCGGCTCCTCCATGGCCTCTGTGATCACCGCAACGTTGTTCTGTATGCCCAACTCGTTTGTCTCCGTCGCCTCTTGGTCGTTGCAAACCCACTCCTGCTCGTTGACAACGAATTTATACAGCAATTTGTCCCCCACACTGACATTGCTCAGTTTCAGCCGGGTAGCCCATCTGGTGTCTACAGTGTCGTACTCTAGCGCGTCAGCCGTCTGCGACCAGTCGTTGAACGAGCCCGCCACGTGGACGCTGTTGAAGCTGTGCGCTTTGTCGTCAAGGTGCACTTCCAGCGAATACATAAAGAGGGAGAAAAAAAAGTGAGGGATCGTATTTATCACTTGAGACGGATCGCGCCCGATCTGCCGCGATCCGAGGCTGGGAGATGCGTGTGCCTGCCGCGCTAAGGCAACCCTTGATGGCCGCCACGCACAACCAGAACGTGAGAGTCCATGCTGGCTGCCTCAGGTGATGCATCCGCAGACGATCGACCCGTCGAAACATTAGAGGTACTTTTTTTTTTATTTATTTTTGTTTTGCTCGCATGTCGCAGACGACTCCCCTGGGCCCAGAATTGAAGGTCGACCTCACTCCCGTGCAGAGTCACATGACCCACGAGCGACACGAGGTGACAGAAACGCTGCGCAAGGCGCAGCTGGGCCAGACGCTTGCCCCGGAAAAACTCAACAATAAGTACTCCTATCTCAGCAAGCAGGACAACTCGACTCCGCTATCGTTCGAGTCCTCCACCAAAACGCCCGTGTCGATCCTGAAAAACCCCGACCTCAGTCCGGACCGCAAGTCTGTCAGCGAAGACTTTGTCAACTCGCAGCCCGGTCTCCGAATGTCCAAGACGCCGGACGGTCATCTGAACCCGGTCAAGGGGGCGTACAACGTGTTCGATAAGCGATCGTCGGGGTCGCCAATCAACGTGGTAAACCGCAAAAGAAGACGGCTGTCGAATCCCAGCCTATGGCAGAATCTGGAAACCAAACGGCCCCAGACAGTCGAGAAAAATCCGCCTAAAGAGTCCAGTTTCTCCAAAATCGTCTACAGTCTTCTGTCTGACCCGCAGTGCGCGTCCAACCTTACGCTCGTGGTGCAGATCCTGCTCAACACGCTGGTTTTCGCCTGTTTCATGACTGCCGTGCTATTTTCGTTCCTGGCCGTCAAACGAGACGCAGACCGCAAGATCCAGGGCTATTCCAACAAGGTGTTGCACGAAATCAACATGTGCAAGCGCGAATACTTTCGGAACAACTGCTCGCCCGAAATGCGCGTGCCAGCGCTCGAGGAGTCCTGCAACGAGTGGGACAACTGCATGAACAGAGACCCAGAGGCCGTGATCACTACAGTCGCCTACTTCGAGATCCTGGCAGAGTGCATGAACGCCTTCTTCCATAATCTGAGTTTTCGCACGCTCTTTGGTCTTATTTTCCTCACTCTATTCCTTGTGTTGGTGCCCAACATTCTGTTCAGCAAATTCAGGTCCTCGAAATCCACTACGACTAACAACTACTACCATTTTAATCCAGACCAGTCAACTGCCAACGCGTCGCAAATCTCCCAGATGTCCAGCATGTCGCCGTTGCGCTCGCCAGCGAGATCGCCACAGCGCATGCTGGACTCGTCTGTGTACTTCACTCCTCCCTCGGCGCTGCTAATGAAAGAGGACGGCACCAAGATTCCGGGCTCAAGCGTGCGGTTCGATTCGAACATCAGCTACCACGAAATACCTGGTCTCGAGGCTAGTCCTCTCGGCAGGTTCGTCAACAAAGATAGATATTGATTACATAGACTAATGACACTGTACATGATTAAACAGCCAGCTTCTTTCCACCCATCAGCTGACTCAGCAGCTCTGCGCTATTTGTCTTGATGCTGTCAGCGCCGGTAGCAGGGAAAAGGCCAGGAGGTGGAGGTGTGGCTGTGCTTGGCTTCTCCTGGCGCAGCGCTTTCAGCTTCTGCTCCTGGAGCAGCTGCTGTTGTAAAAACTGCTGTGCAGACTGTGTGCTCTGCACGGGCTGTTTGCCGCCCTGGAGTATGTTATTCGGGTACCGCTGAGGCTGTGGCTGGTAGAACTGGTGCTGTATAGAGGTCTGTGCTGGCTGTGTAGGCTGTGCTGCCTTGGCGGGCTCCTGCAGAGCTGCCGCTTTGTGATTGTAATTTTTGCTGAACGGAACAAAGAGCAGCGACTCGACGAGCCGCGACATGTGCTGCTTGTTGTCGCTCTCGGACAGCATCGACTTTTGCATTTCTCCGGTCGAAAACAAATGGAACGAGCTCTGGACATTGGTTCTTCTCATACTTGGCTTTATGGTGTAGGAGAACTCCTGCTGACTGTTGAGCAGCTTGATGCAGTCGTCGATCAGTTTGTAGGAATACAGCGAGTCTTCCACCAAACCGGTCTCCTTGGTCTTATCCTTCTTCTTTGTTTGCAAAGACGGACTTTTGGCTGGCTTCTGCAGAACAGCGTCGCCAAGTGTTGGGAACGCGGAAAGCGCTGCAGGCGCCGAGGAGAGGTCGCTGACGGACGACGGACCGACCCCCAAGTTCGACATGTGGGACTGTGACTGCTGCAACTTGGCCCACGCAGCCGTTGGCGGTAGACCAGGCAAGTTGTTCTCGTCCTCGTGGGCAGAGGACGGAACAGGAACAGCCGACGAGGAAGCAGGACTGTGTTCCTGGTCCTGGCTCGAGTCGGTGTCGTTTTGGCTCGCTGGCGGAGGAATCAGGCCGTTGACAGCGCTTCTCTCCTCAAACTTCTTGTTGATGGCCCGGGTGGACAGGTCTTTCCTGGTGTACGAGTCGGCCTCCTCGCCTGGCTCGTGCAAGAACATGCAGTTAGGGTTCGGACAAGGCTGGCCTCTCAGATACGAGGAGCAGTACTTTGTGGTTCCGTGGGCAGCCTTGAGCACGCGGCCATCGCTGATCGACCCATCAACAGCAGCAATGCATCGCGCAGCATCTTCTTTCCTTGCGAACGTCACGTACACTCCGTAGCCTGGGCTGGTGTGGTGAGGGTTGTTTGGATTTGGGGTTCGCTTGTTGATGACAATTTTCGAGATCTTGCCGTACTGGCCAAAGTACTTGTCGGAACGCAGCACTGACGGCAGCTCGTCTGCGCTGCACGGAGGATTCAACCCCACCACGTAAACGAGGTTCTGCTGTATGACTCTCATTCCCGCGAGATGGTGGCGTTTGGCCTGCTCGGCGTCCTTCTTCTCCTTTTCCAGCTGTTTTCTCTCGCGCTTCTGCTTTTCCTTTCTGGCCTGGTTCATTTTCCACTCCTCAGGGCTCACGCTCTTGTGCACAACGTTCTTGTCGTCGTATGGTCTGCGGCAGGCAGGACACTTTCCGTTGAGCTCTGGGTTGGTCCTGATGTTGTTGTAGCAGAACTGGCACACCTGGTAGCCGCACGGACATGGCCAGAAGTTTTTATCGGTGATGTCCATCTCTTCCACACATAGGGGGCACAGATCGTCCTCGTCGGGGATGAACGGGTCGCTTTTGTCATTAAATGGCTCGTACAACATTTCTGGGCACAAAGGTTGCTGTGTTCTGAGATAGCTGAATTGTAATCTGAGATGCTTAGTCTTCTTTTCTGTTTGCCTTTATTTCAAATGTTTTTTTCTAGTTTGCCCGTCTTCGTCGCTGGCAGCAGAAAAAAAACAAGATAATATAATTCACGTAACTAAATAATCTATATCGTGTGTCACCACAACAAGTCCGGCAAGCCATGGAATCCCAGGTTGCCCAGCTGATCTCGCATCAGACAAACCCCGATAATTACGTGCGGACCCGCGCCGAGCAGGAGTTCGACCAATTGGTGCGCGCCGACCCCAGCCAGGCCCTGTGCACGCTCGTCGTGGTCGGCACGTCTCCCCACCTTGATCTGGTCGTGCGACAGGGCGCACTGTTGCACGTGAAACGGCTTGTTCCCAAGTTCTGGTCGCCGGCGTTTGACTCGTATGAGGGCCCGTCCACGATCGCCCCCTCCGCCAAGCAGTATGTGCGCGACGGCCTGCTCAGGCTCGTTGGCGACGCAGACTCCAAAATCCGCAACAGCGCGAGCTACGCCATCACACAGATCTCTGCGGTTGACTATCCGGACGAGTGGCCCACGTTGCTCGGCGACCTCTATGCGATTGCCACCGATAAGGCCAGCACCGCGTACCAGGTGCTAGGCTCGCTGGCCGTGCTACAGGATCTGTTTGACGACCTCATTCCGGACGAGCAGTTTTTCGAGGGCGGCGTGTCGGAGCGCATTCTGCAAACGTGCGAGATGATCCTGACCTCGGACGCGTACAACTTCCAGATCAAGGTCCAGACGCTCAAGCTGCTCCGGACTGTCGTTGATATCTTCAACAGCGCCGAGGTGAGCGACCACCCGGCCCGCAAACAGTTTGTTGACCAGGTGGTGCCCCGGCTCGTGGACCTTTTTGCCGCAATGGCCGCGCAGGTGGTCGGAAACGAGGCCCTGCTGCGATCCTTGGTTATTGTCGGTCTGAAGAACGAGCTTTATGGCTGTCTCAGCGCCCTTGCCAACACGTTTCCCAAAGTGGTTGCGCCGCACGCTCCACGGCTGCTCGACACGACCGTTCGCGAACTCGCCACCACGGCTGCCGTGTACGTGCCGCTGTTGGGGGCCGAGGACATTGAGGCTGCCACCAACGCGCAGTTTTCGGACCTGGGCGAGTTCCAGAGCGTGCACATCGAGCGAATCGACTCGTCGGAGCTGCTGGCGAGCGCCGTTGCCGGCACAATCGCGTTCTTGCAGGCCCTGTGCGACCTGCCGGGCACGTTTCTGCCGGAGGCCATGGTCCGCGAACTGTGCGCTCTGCTTGTCCAGTTTAATGTGCTGCCGCGCGAGGCACAAGCCGGCTACGAGGCCGACTTCAACGAGTTTGTCAGCGTCGAAACAGAGCTCACCATCGAGACCGGCACCGTCGTGCGCGACGCGACAAGAGACCTGCTCGAGACGGCCAACACAGAGCTGAACGGCGCCATGGTGGCCGAGCTCGTGCAGCAGCTCACGGCGCAGGTGCGTGCCGACGCGGCAGACGCGACGGTCGAGAGCACAGCGTACTTGTTGATGTGTCTGTTCTCGAACGAGGCCGAGCTGCAACCCTCGTTTGAGCCTGAGAAGCTGCTCAAGTTTTTGCTGCAGCTGATTCTGGAACAGTTCCACCGCGCGCAGCTTCTCGCGGCCCGGCTCATCATGCTGGTCCCAAAGTTCCTGATGAAGTACGAGCCGTATCTCAAGGAGTACGCCGTGCCCACGCTGGAGCAGATTCTGGACCTGCCGCTTGACGCCGACCACGAGCTCGTGGACGCAGCCGTGCTCATTGCATTCCAGTACTTCAACCACTTCATTCCGTCGTCGCAGTTCAGCACAGGCATCCAGACACGGCTGCTCCAGCTAGTCAAGCAGCTCATGGATTCTGCCACTGAGGACACCAACATCATGCTGCTCGAGGCCCTCACCATCATCATCAACATAGACAACCGCGCGCTCGCAACAGACGAGGCGACGCTCGTGCTGTGCATGAACCTCGGCTTCCGCGACTGCTCGAACTTCTCGCTCACGTCGTCGACGCTGGAGTGCGTCGAGGACCTGCTCAAGGGCATCCCGGAAGAATCCTACGTGGGGCTGTGCTACAAGGCGCTGCCGCCGCTGCTGAAGGTGGTTGGCGACTCCAACGGAGAGTACTCGCCAGAGCTGGACTTGGCCCTCCAGGTGCTGGTTGTGTTTCTGAAAGGCCCCGCGGGGCAGAACGAGGGCGGGCAGGGCGCCGTCGGTGCCCTGCCCGAGGACGTCTTCCAGGCCGTCTTCCCATCCATCTGCAGCCTGATCCTCAAATGCGACGACGACGAGGTGCTGCAGTCGTCGTCCGAGGTGTTCAACGTGCTGCTCTCCAAAGGCTCGCCGCAGATCCGCGCGTACCGCGACGCCGCGTCCGGCGCCACGGGCAACGAGCTGCTGCTCAAGATCGTGTCGAAGTTCCTGTCGCCCGCGATGAGCGACCGCGCGATCGTGCGGCTCGGGGACCTGATTGTGCTGCTCATCGAGAACTTCAGCACGGAGTCGTCTGTGTGGCAGCATTTCCAGGAGATTCTGCAGGCGGCCACTCTGAGGCTGCTCGCAGCCAAGGAGATGATCACGATCGAGAACCTTGTGCTCATCTTCAACACGCTCACCGTGTTGCAACCGCAGCAAACCGTGGACTTCCTTGCCGGGTTTGCGGTCGACGGCCAGTCTGCGCTCGAAAAAGTGCTGCCCGTGTGGCTGCAGGCGTTCGAGGTGATGCGCGGCTACGACAGGATTCTGTCCAACATCCGCGCATTCATCGAGATCTACAAGCTGGACGACGCGCGGCTGAAACGCACGCTGGTCAACGGCGACGTGCTGCCGAACCAGGTGCCGGACGACGTGATTGTGACGCGGTCGATGGCGCGCAAGATGCCGATCCGGTACGAGCAGGTCGGCGCAGACGTCAAGATAGTGCGTCTGCTGCTCAACGAGTACAAATTCCAGGTGCGGTCGGCACAGAAGACCGAGCAGGCCCAAAACGCGCAGCCAGCGGACGACGACGACGACGGCTGGGAGGACCTCGACGACGTGGGCGTGCCGTCGTTCGAACAGCTGCAGCAGTACGTCCACGAGGACGAGCACACGGGCAGAACGCCCGCAGACAACAACGGCGACGAGATCCGCCAGCTGCTCGCCGCGTTCTTCAAAGAGTGCACGGCCAAGAACCTGGGCGGGTTCCAGGACGTGTACGCGCGGCTTGGCGACGAGGACAAGCGGTTTTTGACCGAGTACGTAGCATTTACATAGGCATTGCCAATAATACACCACTATATCTGCAGCTGGACGTCGAAGTCGATCGTCCTGATAACCGCGTCGATGCCGTCCTTGATGAACTTGCACTTGAGCGGCGACTCTTCGCGGTGCTCGGTGTGCTCCGGCACAGGCTGCTCCTCGCCGGCCATCTCCTTCTGCGCGGACTGGGCCGACGAGTAGAAGATCTTCGGATTGGTGCGGAGCCGCGAGAACGGGTCGTTGAAATTGTTGTTCAGAATCTGTTTCTGGCGGTGCTCCACGTTCAGCTTCTCGGCGCGGCGAATGGCCGTCTCGTTGCTCTTCTTGTTGCGTCGGTTGATCTGGTCCATTCTGCTCAGCTCGTTGTGGCCCGCGTGCACGTACTTGCCCAGCTCGTCGATCTGCTTCGTCAACGTCTCGACGCGCGCCTCGTCCTGCCGCTCCACAGCCACCTGCAGCTCCTCCCGCAGCCGGGCGAGCCGCTTGACCCTGTTGCCCGAGTCCATCGCCGCCACAGAAATCGCCTCCTTTCTTGCCACCATCTTGTTGATGTCCTCGTCCGTCAGCTTTCTCGTTGACATGTCCCGCAGCTCGCGGAATTTCGCGTCTACCTGGCCCACAGACGGCAGCTCCAGCCCAGACTCGTCCAGCCGTCTCCGGTACGCCTCAAACTCGGACGGGCTGAACGGCGAGTCCGAGATGCACGTCATGTCAATCAGCTTCTTCGACTCGCCCTGTGACACCAACAGGTACACGTCGCACGGCTTGTTCAGCAGGCGGTACGGTTTCCCGCCGCGCTTCACCTCCTCGACCCGCGCAACCCTGTACTGCGGCTGCCCTGTCTCCCGCGAAACCCCGACATTCACACGCACATATGTGTGGCGGATAACCTCGTCAAACTCGTCCCGGAACATGAACCGGGACAATATCGTCCGGCTAGCGCGCACCTTGGCGTTCAGGTCCTTCAACGTCGCATCCTGGTAGTACTTGTCGTCGTAGTCGCTCGTGGTGCCCTTTTTGCGACGCGTGTCTGTGTCGTCAATGTCGTAGTCCTCCTCGTACACGTCCTCGTCCTCAGAGGCCTCCTGGTCGTCTGCCAGCTCGTTGGCGTCCACATCCTCCTCGTCAGAGTCGTATGCCCTGCTCTCCTTCCTGCTCTTCCTCTCTCTCTGCTTCTTCAGCTCGGACAGCTTGCTCGTGCGCAAAGACTTGCCCGTCGTCCGCGCGGCCTTGATCGCACTGCTCTCCGCCTTGCTCTGCCGCGCCCTCAGGGCCAGGAACCGTCTCTCCCTGTACTTCTCCCGCTCCTGCTCACGGTCGTAGATGATCTGTTCTCTGGTCACCTCGTCCATCGCCAACAGCTCCGCCTTGTCGGCGTCGTCCTTGTACTTGCCCTCCAGCGGGTACGGGTCCTGCTCGCCATACTCGTCGTCGTCGTTGTCCTGCTCGCCCTCCGACTCGTCGATCTTCCGCTTGAGGCCGCCCACGCGCTTCGGGGTCTGGATTTCTGGCTCGTAGTCGCTCTCGTCGCCTTCGGAGCCGATTCCAGCAAGAGCTAACAAGTCGTCATCGCTGTCACTCATGGAAAATAAAATATAACTATTTATTTGTTCGTCTAGTCAGCTTTACCCGGCCAGGTGGACACAGCCGTGGAAAAATAAATTTAAATATATCACCCATCGCCAGCCATGGCCTCGCACCGACCTAATT